CAGGTTGTTTCAGACCTTCAAGTACACTGCATACAAGAGACACGCAAAAGCCTGTAAACAAAAAACATCTCTCACCTTTCTGAGAGTGTAAAGAAAATAAACCTACAGAATCTGAAGAAAGAATTCTGATACAAGTAAAATCCTAGGTCCAGCTAATGAACCAAAGATCGAACACTCTGCAGATAATATTGCACCCCCAGACAGTAGTTTCGCATTGGGGCACACTATAAATCAGGAAATACTGATGGCTTGAAAGGAAGGCATAGCAATAATCATGGGTAATTTTAATATTCGTCAACTGCATTAATCAAATTGGTACAGGTAACCGACGGAGAGACAGAAACAGAGATCGAGTTCATTGAAAGTATGGGAGATTGTTTCTTTGGAGCAGTATGTTGGGGAAGAAACCAAGAAACAGGCTATTATGGATTTGGTATTGTATAATGCAGCGGGATTAATGAATGATCTCAGTCAAGGGTCCTCTACCGAAGAGTGATGCTAGATTTTCAAATTAAGTTCGAGTGAGAGAAACTGGACTTCCGAACTAACTTGGGAAGTTAAACAGAGGTGATTACATAGGCATAAAGATAGATCTAGCCCTAGTGGACTGCTAAGACTGAAAGGTATGACAGTTGCTGAGCAGAGGCAGATGTTTGAGGAGATATTCAATTGCTCCCAACTAAAATATATTCTATAGAGAAAGAAAGAAAGATTGCACAAGGGTGTAAAACATCCATGGCTAAGCAAGAAAGTTAAAGATAAAGACAAAAACAAAGGCTTACCATATTGCAAAGGCCAGTGGCAGGCTGGAAGGTTGGGAAACTTTGAAAGATCAAAGGCTTACTAAAACAAACAATAAAAACAGCAAAGGTAAATTATGAAAGAAAACCATCACAAAATCTAAAAACAGAAAGTAAAAGCTTCTCTAAGTATAGAAAAGAGAAGTGACTGGCTAAAGTCAATGTTGGTCCATTGGAGGAAACTGAGGAGTTAATAGTGACAAACACAAATATGGCAGAGACACTAAATCAATATTTTGCTTCAAGTTTCATGGCGGAAGAAACAAGTACCATCCCAATAATAACAGGTAATGCTGAGGTTAAAGAATGAGAGGAACTGAGAACAATCACTAGGTTAAAAAAAACTGAACAAACTATTGGGATTGAAGGCACAGAAGTCTCCAGGGGCCTGATAACCTACATCCTAGGGTCTTAAAGGAAGTGGCAGCAGAGATAGTGGATCTAATTTTAATATTCTAAAATGCCCCAGATGTGGTAAAGGAATAAGTGATAATTGTTCCAGCACTGGTGGCTGTGCCTTCAGTTGACTTTTTTAAACTCATTTGTGGGATGTGGGAGTCGCTGGCTGGCCAGCATTTCTTGCCCATCCCTAGTTGCCCTTGAGAAGGTGGTGATGAGCTGCCTTCTTGAACTGCTGCAGTCCTCCTGCTGTGGGTTGACGCACAATGCTATTAGGGAGGGAATTCCAGGATTTTGACGCAACGATAGTGAAGGAATGGCGATATATTTCCAAGTCAGGATGGTGAGTGACTTGGAGGGGAACGTGAAGGTGGTGGTGTTCACATATATCTGCTGCCCTTGTCCTTCTAGATGGAAATGCTTGTGGGTTTGGAAGGTGCTGTCTGAGGATCTTTGGTGAATTTCTGCAGTGCATCTTGTAGATAGTGGCAGCAGTGTGTACTGAGCGTCGGTGGTGGAGGGAGTGGATGCTTGTAGATGTAGTGCCAGTCAAGCAGGCTGCTTTGTCCTGGATGGTGTCAAGCTTCTTGAGTGTTGTTGGGGCTGTAATCATCCAAGCAAGTGGGGAGTATTCCATCACACTCCTGACTTGTGCCTTGTAGATGGTGGACAGGCTCGGAGGAGTCAGGAGCTGAGTTACTTACTGCAGTATTCCCAGCTTCTGGCCTGCTCTTGTAGCCAGTGTTAGTGTGGTGAGTCCAGTTGAGTTTCTGGTCAATGGTAACCCCCAGAATGTTCATAGTGGGGGATTCAGTTATGGTAACATGTCAAGGGGCGGTGGTTAGATTGTCTCTTATCGGTGATGGTCATAGCCTGGCATTTGTGTGGCACAAATGTCACTTGCCACTTGTCAGCCCAAGCCTGGATATTGTCCAGATCTTGTTGCATGTGAACATGGACTGCTTCAGCTTCTGAGGAATTTAGAATGGTGCTGAACATTGTTTGCCGATGATTGCACATCCCCACTTCTGACTTTATGATGGAGGGATGGTCTTTGATGAAGCAGCTGAAGATGGTTGGGCCTAGGACACTACCCTGAGGAACTCCTGCAGAGATCTCCTGGAGCTGAGATGATTAACCACCCACAACCAAGACCAACTTCCTATGTGTCAGGTATGACTCTAACCACTGGACAGTTTGCCCGTGATACCCATGGATTCCAGTTTTACCAGGGCTCTTTGGTGCCACACTCTGTCAAATGCAGCCTTGATATCAAGGGCTGTCACTCTCATCTCACCTCTGGAATTCAGCTCTTTTGTCCATGTTTGAACCAAGGCTGTAATGAGATCAACAGCTGAGTGGCCCTGGCAGAACTCAAACTGGCCGTCACTGTGCAGGTTATTGATGAGCAGGTGCTGCTTGATAGCACTGTTGATGACACCTTCCATCACTTTACTGATGATCGAGAGGAGACTGATGGGGCGGTAATTGGCCAGGTTGTATTGGTCCTGCTTTTTGCATACAGGACATACTTGGGCAATTTTCCACATTGTCGAGTAGATACCAGTGTTGTAACTGTACTGGAACAGCTTGGCTGGGGGAGCGGCAAGTTCTGGAGCACAAGTCTTCAGTACTATTGCCGGAATGTTGTCAGGGCCTATAGCCTTTACAGTGTCTCCAAACGTTTCTTGATATCATGTGGTTTGAATCAAATTGGCTGAAGACTAGTACCTGTGATGTTGGGGACCACTGGAGGACTGGGTATTAAGTATTATAAGCTCAAAGGATCATAGTCTTGCATGTACTGTCTTTCTTGAATTGGCCATAAGATGCCTGCATGTGGTGAGTGAGTGCTTCCTGGCAGACATAGCTTATTACAGTCACGCAAGGAAAAACTTCCATCATTGATTACATTTCAATCTGAACATTCACATAAAAAACACAAATGAGTTGCCCAAGTTATTCAAACAAAGAACAGGTCACATGCATGAACAACTATCTGTTCTTGTGGTGATTTCCTCATTGTCAGCCTCTTTACATATACGGCATATGTGCAGGTTTTTGGCTTTTCTTCCAAACCATGCTGATTGGAATGATGTGCACTTTGGCACAATTTCAAAATCTTCTCAGCTGACTGCTCTAAATTACACCATTTCATTAGACACCTCTTTCTTCAGTTGCTTTATCTGTATCTGGCAAGACAGTCTTTTTGTTAGTCAGAAAACTGCCAGTTCTACTTCATATCACTTTTTCTTTCTGAAACTAGAGGGCATAGGTTTAAGGCGAGAGGGGAAAGATAGAAGGGATCTAAGGGGCAACTTTTTCACACAGAGGGTGGTGCGTGTATGAAATGAACTGCCAGAGGAAGTGGTGGAGGCTGGTACAATTACATTTAAAAGACATCAGGATGGAGATATGAATAGCAAGGGTTTAGAGGGATATGGGCCAAATGAGATGAGATTAATTTAGGATATCTGGCAGAATGGACGAGTTGGACCAAAGGGTCTGTTTCCGTGCTGCGCAGCTCTAAGACTCTTTAATTGGAAAAATTCTAATTCACCCTAATTCAAAAAGGGAGAAAAGGCAGAAAGTAAGAAAATATAGACCAGTTAGTTTAACCTCTATCATAGGGAAGCTATTAGGAACCATTACTAAGAAAGTAATAACAAGACATTTGGAAAGTCAAAACACAATCAAAGTCAGCATGATTTTATGAAGGGTGAATCATGATTGACTAATTTGCCAGACTTCTTCAAAGATATAACTAGAAAAGTGGATAATGGCAATCCTGTAGCTGTAATATACCTGAACTTCCAGAAGACATTTAATAAGGTTGTCACATAGACAGAGTTGATGGTAGTTGTCTTTTCCCTAAGATGGGGAATTTCAAGACTAAGGGGCACATTTTTTAAGGTGACAGGAGAGAGATTTAAAAAAGACATGAGGCAACTTTTTTTTTTTTAAAACAGAGGGTGGTTCATGTGTGGAATGAACTTCCTGATGAACTGGTGGATGCAGGTACATTACAACTTTTAAAAGACACTTGGATGGGTATATGAATAGGAAAGGTTTCAAGGGATGTGGGCTGGGAGCAGGCAGGTGAGACTAGTTTAGTTTGGGATTATGTTTGGCATGGACTAGTTGGACTGAAGGGTCAGCTTCCATGCTGTATGACTCTATAAGAGATTAATACACAAGCTTAGTTCACATAGGGTTAGAAGTAATTTATTAGCTTGGATAGAGAATTGGCTAATGAACAGAAAGCAAAGAATCAGGATAAATAGGTCTTTTTCTGGTTATGAAGATGTAATTACTAGGGTACCATGATGTTCAGTCTTCGAGCCCCAACTATTTATAATCTATATTAATGTCTTGGATGCATGAATAGAAAATACTATCACCAAATTTGCAAAATACATGTAATGTAAGTTGGAATAAATAAAATAAAATACAAATGAATGTAGATGTAAGGTGAATGGGTCAAAATGTGACAGAGGGAGTTTAATGTGGATAAATGTGAAGTTATTCCTTTTGGTTCAATGAATCAAAAAGGCAATTTATCGAAATGGAAAGACTTTGGAGAGCTTTGGTGCAGGGGGATCTGGGTGTCCTCGTGCTTTAATCGCAGAAAACTATTATGTAGGTAAAACAGGTAGAAAAGATGTCAAATGTAGTACTGATAGTTCTTGAAGAACGTATAGAGTATAAAAGGAGGGAAATGTTGCTGCAACTGGACAAGGCAAAAGGGGAGGGCCCGGGGTGGGCGGAGTCACCGAATTTTTCGGTCACTTTTGCACTCACCCGCATCATCCCCGCCATTTTCTCGACCAGAACTCTGAAATCTTGCTGCGGCAGGTCAGGGTAAAGCTGCTCCTTTAGCATTTGCTCGGTAATGCCAGGGCTGCGGTAGTAAATAAGCTGAGCTAGGCCGCTCAATAAACCGCTGAGGGACTTAGAACGCTGCTCCGCCATGGTGCTCTGACGTCACGAGCTGACCGGTCGACCTTTGACGTCCTCCTAGTCACGTGGCTCCAGGGGCGATCTACAGCGTCCCTAACGGTTTCAAATTGAAATGCAGCGACCTCACTCAGTACCTCCACTGCAACGCCTCCAACGCTGCTCCCAACATCATTGCTACAACAACTCCTCCAATGCAGCTCCACCTTTACTGCAGCTACCACTGCTACAGCAGCTGCACCTGCACCACAGCTCCCAACACCACTGCTGCAGCAGCTCCTCCAGTGCAGCAGATCGTCCGCCTTCAAAACAGCTCCATCACCCACTACAACAGAACTTCCAGCTCCCTGAACCACCATCACTGCAGCAGCTCCCCCAATGCATCTCCACCTCCATTGCAGCTCCAAGCAGCACCACCAATACAGCAGCTCCTCTGGTGCAATTCCCCTCCCAGTCCCACTTCCACAGTAGCTGTACCTATGGCTCCCAGCATTGCATCTTTCAGCAGTGCTGACTCTACCAGTAAGTTATATTCTGACTGATGGGTGATAGAGGCAGAAACCTTCATCGCATTAAAAAAAAAGACACAGATATACTTGAAATGCCGGAACAGATGGAACTTTGGACTAAAATTGACGAGTAAGTTGATAAGCCTGACTGTAAAACATCTTTATTCCTGACGTACCCTCTCTGACAGACACATAACATTTTTAAATCAAAATCTCTTTTAAAATAAGAAATAATCAATTGTTTATATCTGATCCAATTGACCTTACCAAGTAATATTAAAAATTTCATCTTTGTGTACACCACTGAAGCACCTGGATTTGTTTGAAGAATGTGTCCAATTCACTAATGTCTTTTGGAAAAGAGTATCTTTCTCTCTTGTCTGAACAACAAATTAGTCTTGTCCCATTCAATTTACTGGAAATCATTTTTGAAACTACCTGCATTGGAACTCAGCAGTGCCGTTTGACAAGGAGACAGATAAATACTTGAAGGTGACTCCAGGATGGTGTGTTGCCTCCCTGCTGCCTGGGTCAAGCAAAACTCAACGAGAAGTAGGAATAGATGTAGGCCATTTGGCACTTCAAGCTTGCTCCGCCATTTGGTTGGATCACAGTTGTTCCGACATTCTTCACATCCACTTTCCTGACCTTTCTCATAATCCTTGATTCACCCACTGATCAAAGATCTATCTATCCAGCCTTAAAGATATACAAGGGATCTGCACCCACAGCTCTGTATGGCAAGAAGTACCAAAGACTAACACAGTGAGAGAGAAATACCTCCTCATCTCAGTCTTAAACTGGTGCCCTTTTATTGTGAGATTAGGCTCCCTGGTGCTAGACTCTTCCATGAATGGAAACATCTCATCAGCTTTACCGTGTCAAGCCCTTAAGAATCTGATATGTTGCAATGAGCTAATCTCTTATTTTTCTAAATTCCAATGGGTAGAATTTCAACCTATTCAACCTTTGCTCAAAACAATCCCTCCATTCTGGGGATCATCCTGGTGAACCTTCTTTGAACTACTTTCACTTAAATATTTCCTTAGATAAGGAGACCAAACTGTCAACAGTACTCCAGATGTGATCTCAGTATCTTGTAGATTGCAGAAAGACTTCCCTACTCTTATACTCCAACCACCTAAAAGGGCCAATATTCTATCAGACTTCCCGATTACCTGCTGTATCTGTGTGCTAGCTTTCTATGTTTTGACCACAAGTACCCCCAATGTTATAGAGAGGTTGCAGGAGATGGATGAGCCAGAAGTCATGGTCCACATTGGTTCCAACGTTATCAATGTTATAGGTAGGATGAGGTATTGAAAACAGATTTCAAGGAGTTGAGAAGGAAATAAAAAGTAAAACCATAAAAGCAGTAATCTCAGGATTACGCCCAGTGCCAGATGCCAGTTCTAATCGGTTGCATCCTAGGATTTTAAAGGAAATGGCTGCAGATATAGTGGATGCACCAAAAAACGTATCTTCCAAATATCCTTAGATTCTGGAAAAGTCATAGAAATCTTAGAATCCCTACAGTGTGGAAGCAGGCCATTCGGCCCATCAAGCCCACACTGAACCTTCGAAGAGCATCCCACCTTATCCCTGTAACCCTGCATTTCCCATGGCTAATCCACTTAGCCTGTACATCTTTGGACTGTGGGGGGAAACTGGAGCACCAAGACGAAACCCATGCAGACACTGGGGGATTAGAAAACTGCCGATATACCATCCAAACAGATAACTATTTGCCATTTAGCTTAAAATTTCTTGATGGGAAAATGTTAAAAAGTCTCAGATGTAATAGCAGAGCATTTAGAAACATCAGATGAAGTACAGTCAGCAAGGCTACATGAAGGGGAAATTGTGCTGAACAAATTTCTTTCAGTTCTTTGGAGAGCTAACAAGCAGGGTAGATAAAGGGAACCAGTAGATAAAGGGAACCAGTAGATGTAACATATTTGGATTTCCAAAAGGCATTTGAAATGGTATCACACATAAGGCTACAAAATAAGATAAGACTAGGTAGTGCTGGGGGTACTGTATTAGCATGGATAGAGGATTGGCTAATGAATAGAAGACAAAGTTTAGATAAAGGGTGTACTTTCGAAATGTCAACCTGTAACTAGTGGAGTGCTAGAGGGATCAGTCTGGGCCACAACTATTTACAATATATATATAGACTCAGATGAAGAAAGAAAATACGATATACAAGTTTGTGTTTGACACAAGGATAGGTGGGAAAGCAAGTAGTAAGGAGTCAACAGAGGGATATAGACAGATTAAGTGAGTGGATAAATCTTGGCAGATGAAATAGAATGTGGGATTATAGAACAGAATAGAATATCCTTTATTGTCACTTGTACTCAAGTATGGAAGTACAGTGAAAAGTTTACAATGTCACCCTACATGGTGCCATCTTACGTACAAAGTACCTAGGTATAAATTTTAGATACAAAATAGAGAAATAAAGAAGAAAAAGGAAAAAAACTTACATTACCCAACAGTTATTTATAGCATAAATTAGAAAAATAAGAAATAAAGTTAAAAAGGTAAGTATTATAGTCTTTCGATAAAGGCCCCTACGGTGGATCAGCACAGGGGGCTTCCACACGTGGTCTGATCAGGCTTACAAGCCACTGACCACCCACACCGGTCCCCAGTCCAACAACCATCCCAGCTTTGCTCAAGCCTCCAGCCTGCTTGCCTTATCTATTCCGCTGTGAGATTTTAGTAGGAAGAAGATGTGAATATGATTTCAACGGTGAAAGACTGCAGAAAACTTCAGGTCAGAGAGATTTGGAAGTTCATGCATGAATCACAAAAAGCTAGCATTTAAGTTCAGTGGGTAATGGAGTTGGCAAATTGAATGTTGGCTGTTATTTCAAAGGGAATGCAATATAAAAATAGGGAGGTCTTGTTAAGTGACCTGCAAGATACAAGTGGTCTTGCAAGACACTTGTCATACCTAGAACACTGGAATACAAAGGAATGAGATACTGGCATTGGAGGCAATCAAAAGAAGGTTCACTAGATTGATCCAGGTATGGAGTGATCAGCTTTCGAGAGATTTTGATTTGTTTTGATTTACTATTGTCACGTACCGAGATAAAGTGAGAAGTATTGTTTGGCATGCTAACTAATGAAATCAAACCGTACGTCAGTACATCAGGGTAATAGAACAGAATGCAGAATATAGTGTCACAAAGGAAAACAGAAGTTGCTGGAAAAGCTCAGCTCTCTGTGAAGAGAAATCAGAGTTAATGTTTCGTGTCTAGTGACCCTTCCTCAATGTTCAAAATGCTAACTCTGATTTCTCTTCACAGATGCTGCCAGACCTGCTGAGGTTTTCCAGCAACTTCTGTTTTTGTTTCTGATTTACAGCATCCGCAGTTTTTTTTAGTTTTTATGCAGAATTTCGTGTTCCAGATACAGAGAAGGTGCAGAGAAAGATCAACTGTAATGTATGAGAGGTCCACTCGTAAGTCTGATAACAGCAGGAAAGAAGTTGTTCTTAAATCTGTTGGTACATGTTTTCAAACTTTTGTATCTTCTGCTGGGTGGAAGACAGTATAACCAGGGTGGAAGGGGTCTTTGATTATGTTTGCTGCTTTCCCGAGGCAACAGGAAGTATAGATGGAGTTAATGGAAGGAAGGCTGGTTTTCACGATGGCCTGGGCTGCTCACAACTCTCTATAACTTCTTGCGGTCTTGGGCAGAGCAGCTGCCAATCCAAGCTGTGATACATCCGGATAGGATGCCTTCTACTGTGCATCTATGAAAATTGGTAAGAGTCATTGTGGACATGCCAAATTTCCTTAGTCTTCTGATGAAGTAGAGGTCTTGATGTGCTTTCTTGACTATAGCGTGGACCAGGATAGATTGTTGGAGATATTTACTCCTAGGAACCTGAAGCTCTTGATCACCTCCACTTCAACACCATTGTTACAGACAGAGGCGTAAGCTGTCTATCTCTGTCCTGTATTCTACCTCGTAGTCATTTGAGATCCTATCCACTACGGATATGTCATCAGCAAACTTGTAAATGGAGTTAGAACTGAATTTGGCTACACAGATATGAGTTTGTAAGGAGTATAGAAAAGGGCTGAGTACACAGTCTTGCAGGGCACCAGCGTTGGGGATTATTGTTGAGGAAGTGTTGTCACTTATCCTTGCTGATTGTGGTCTGCAGTCAGGAAGTAAAGGATCCTGTTGCAGAGGTGGGGAGCATAGCCCTAGGTCTCGGAGTTTGGAGATGACTTTGATTGGCATTGTGGTGTTCTAGGCAGAGGTAAAGTCAATAATAGGTGTCTGACATAGATATCCTTGTTATCCAGATGTTCCAGGGATGAGTGTAGGGCGAGGGAGATGGCATTTGCCGTGGACCTACTGTAACAATAGATGAATTGTTGTGGATCAGGGCAATCTGGGAGGCTGGAGTTTATGTGTGCCAATACTAACCTCTCAAAGCACTTCATTACAACAGATGTCAGAGCCAGTGGGCAGCAGCCATTAAAGCACATTACACAATTTTGCTTTGGCACCAGAACGATCATGATCTTTTTTGAAG